GAAAACCCAGCTTCCATGTCCACCAATGAGACCAGCCCATCAACCTCCTTGATGAAACCTTCTTGCACTGCTTGAGATTGAGTCCATGTCTAAAGCTTCGATCTTTTTTGTGTTTTGTGTAAGACTAAGAAGACCCAGTTGTAATTTGTGCTTGTTTGACCCAACCGCCTCACTACCATCAACATAATCTACAACCCAAACCCCCGATAGCCAAGCCACACCCAAACCTCAAAACTCCTAAAAACCCAAATCTATGTCCTATTACTAAACAAAAACAAAGAATCCATGACTGAATCTTCCAATTGCAACAAACGTAAGCAAAGCCAAAACAACCCCACCAACAAGCAATGCCACTCGACTAAAACAAAACCACCCAAAATCACAAACTGAAATCAATAAACAAAAAGTCCAAAAATCAAGTAAATGGGGTTTTTTTTTAAATATATAATTCTTTCCAAGGAAAGCCAATTGGTTTCTCTCATTTTTAGCTGATGTTGTGTTTGTGGCTTTCAATTCTATCATTGATTGCTTCCCAAGCCATAAGACCAAATGCGTGGTTTGTTGCAATCCGGTGAGAAGAAGATCTCATCCTTCTACTCCATCGCCTCCCGGGCAACCAGTATATATATATATATATATATATATATCCCCCGTCATCATCATCATGAAATAGAAGGAGAGGGTGAGAAAGAACAGAGTGAAAGATGACAACGGGGAAGGGGGAGGGATGGCTACAGGTTATTTTTTTTTTTTTTTTTTTTTTAAATTTTTAATTTTTAATTTTTTTTAAGTAAGTTTTTTTTTTTTTTTTTTTTTTTTTAATAATTTTATATTTAATTTTTTTTTATATTAAATTATATTCTTAAATATTTATGAAAATGACAGAATTGAAACATTGGACTTGATTTGTTAACAGTTGCAAGTACACTGACCAGATCGAGAAAATTGAAATCACGGTGATCAAATTTGATTTTGAGCCAAACCCCAGTGACCAAAAATGTAACTAACCCCTTTTTATATATACTATCATTTTTTTCTTAATCATGCGTTAGAATTGATATATGGCACCACTCCTAGAGCTATCAAAAGAAAAGTAGTGATTGATATGTTGGTCATATTTCATGAGGTTGAAAAGTCTACTCTTTCCAAAGAAGTTCTTGAAGGAAACATATAGCATCTCATGACTTGAAGGAAACATATAGCATTTCATGTCCTTTGGAAATGAATTTAGTCAAAACATATAACAAACAAACATTCATAATGGCGGATTGATTATGCTATCCTAGTTGAGCTAAGCCTTTTTCATTTTATCCCAAATATCTTATAATCTAGTGTAACATCCCACATCAACCAACAAAGAGGGGGTGATGTGCTTTATATGTACATATACACCTCCATCTAGCACGAGGCCTTTTGGGAGCTCACTGGTTTTGGAGTTATGGAAATTCCAAAGTTAAGCGAGTTTGGGCTAGAGAAATCTTAAGATGGGTGACCCACTAGGAAGTTGATTGTGAGTTCCTAGAAACAAAACCGTGAGGGCGAAGAGGGGGGCCCAAAGCGGACTATATTATGCTACGGTGAAGCTGATCTCGGGATGTGAGCCTTTTGGGAGCTCACTAGCTTCGGAGTCATGGGAACTCCGAAGTTAAGCTAGTTTGGGCTAGAGCAATCCCATGATGTGTGACCCACTAATAAGTTGCTCGTGAGTTCCCATAAACAAAACCTTGAGGGCAGAAATTGGGCCTAAAGTGGACAATATCATGCTACGGCGGAGCCAATCTCAGGATGTGACATCTAGTCTCTTTGTGCACAAAATAGAAAAAAGAGAAATGATCCTTGAAGACTATTTCTTGGAGAAGCCAAGAATGAGCACCTTTGTGAAAATGCCTTCTTTTCTTCCTCTTTTTACAAGCTCCTCAACCTAAGACTCCAAGAGTGAAGTCGTCTACCTCACCACACCAAAATAAACTAGAGATGAAGAGAAATCAACGTAGAAGACTTAGATGCTAGACTTCCTCTAGGTTGGACCCATTTTTGGCTAAGAATCCCCCATACACATCAAGAACTTCAAGTCGAAATGCCAAAAATCATAACTAGGTTAGTAAAGTTTGGCTTTTATAGGAAAAGCATACAAAAGGAGAGAAAGAGATTCTCTCCCCAAAAATTCAACCAAAATGGGAAGTGGGCTCATTTTGGGTCTTATGGATTTGTGTTGTCATACAACACTTATCTATAAGCCCAATTGGCTTTTGGGTATTTTGTCATTCTTCTTTTAAATCATTTTTAAAAGCCCAACCCAATTATTCATATCAAAGTTAATTTCATAATCAACTTTTAATTATGAATTATAATTTAACATTTAAATCACGATTATGATCTTACTAATTTGACTTGGTTCATTGCTCCAGTCAAACATGTTGACTTTGACTTGACTGTTGACTTTGCATTTGACTTTCGGCCTTTGACTTTTGACTCATAATTTCTTTTTGCTTCATTTGTACCTCTAATATCATTTCTCGGTGTGTGATCCGTAGGTTCCTTTTAGCAAGGTAGTGGGTAGGCTCAACTTCTTTGAGTTAACTTGTGAATTAAGTATCACTATTTAATTCTTCCTATTAGTGAAGGTCAAATATGTTTGAACCTTTTAGGACTTCCACAAATCATGGTTGACGTCTAGCAGCATGTCATGGTTATTCGAGCTAAATAGGGTGTAGGAAAAAACCTATTCAAATTGGAATGACTGCACAATTGAATCTTTCTCTTATACAATACTCCTTATTCACATTACTAGATAATGGAATCTAATGTTGAATATCCTAACGTGAATTATTCTTTTATATGATTATCCTGGTAAGATTTAAAAATTTATTTTTTTCAAATCTTATCCCCAACTTTGTGCACAGATTTGATCAATCATATCCTTGGAGTATTGTCTCTCTTTACTAAGAGTAGAGATTCCTTGTTGTACATTCATGTCTCCATAACTTTATTGAGATCCCTAATAAATATCTTTACGTCATGTCTTCATCAACACAACTGTATAGTGCCCTCAAATACTAAGGTCATCCCCAACGAGGGCTCTATTTGGGGCTCAACCACCATAAGGCTCCTATAAATAGAAATTCTCCTTAAAAAAGCATACCCAATGGTGCAAATTCAAAGCTCTAAAACTTGAAGCCCAACCGAAGCACTAGCTAAATCTATATGCTTGGTTGAAGCCCTTGAAACTCAGTGGGTCCCACAAGGAGAAAAGCTGCACTCGACATATTTTGTCTCTCACTTGCCTTGCAACTGTGAAAAGCCATACTTGCTTCTTCTTTTTTTCTACTGTCGACAACATGCAAAACAAAAAAAAAAAAAAAAAAAAAAAAAAAAAAAAAGGGTGGGTAGGGCGACCAACATTTTCCGAGGTGTTCCGAAATTCCCTCCCGAGTTAATCTTCTGTGGTGTGTGTTTTCTACAAAAAAAAAGTTGTCCGTTGGAAATATGTCACGAGCCTGAAAATTTATTTCCGACAAAGGAAATACCCTCGAAAAAAGTCTCGATTGTCGTCGGAAATGTAATTTATTTGATGGGAAAACTTGGCGCCAACTTTATTAACAACCAAAAGTATGATTGACGGAAATAGGATGATTGTAGGGGACTTTTTCTTCCTGCAGCTATAATGGGTTGGGCTGCTGTAAATGGCAGACTGAGGAGATTGTCCCATTTGCTTGGGTTCGAAAATTAAGCCCCAAAAATACTTCGAAAGGGCAGCAAAGCCTTAGGAAATATTTTGACTACCTTCACCAACCAAAATAATGGCAGCTTACATGTGGTTTTGGCATGCTTACAGATAATCTTTTTAGCTCAGCGTGAGTGACATATGGCATGGAAGCAAAATCAACATGAGTTTAGCACTAAGAGAACATTTAGGCTTTCTTTGAGGGGAAGGGAAATGTTAGGGTAAGAAAGGAGAAGTTTTGTGAAAGATTTGGCTATGAAAGGGAAAATGAATAGCAGAGTTCTTTTGGCAGCTGCCAGAAGAACAAAATGGAGAAGGAGATGAACAGTGCACGAGGTTGCTAGATTTTTACAAGTTTGAGAGAATGCTTGCTCTTTGAATCTGAGTTGCCTTCGTTAGGTTGGATAAGCCTCAATTTATAGCCGCTGGAAACCACCATTTTTCAAGAAACCCTAATGGCTTCTACCCATTTTGGCTAAGCTTTTCCCTCCTTTCTTATTTCCTCCTTTGGTTTTTCCATTTTGATGAAATTTCTCCTATCAGATCAGAGTTTTTGAAGCTCAAGGCCCCCTTTTTCCCTCCATGTGCTGGAAACTCCTAGCAGCTTAGTTCAATGGACTTGCAGACCTTGTCTACGTGGCTTCTATTTTTTCAGCAAAGGGCTGAGACTTTTGAGGCTTGTTTTTGAGGTTTTGTATGGACCAAGAAATGGGCTTGAGTCTCAAGATTCCCAAGCAACTCGAGACTTTCCATTTCTCGGCCCATCAATGGGCCTCATGCTGACTTATTACCATCCATGCCACAACCCACTCAAGCAAGCCCCATGTGTTTGAGTGGCTTAGGCCCACATAGACTTGTAGCGTGGTTGGGAGTGAGATAACAATTTCGTGCTTGGCATGGCATGTCGCTTGGCATGTTTTAATTTATCGTCCTGCGATGTTTAATTTTGGCATGGGCTTGTAGACTCGGTATTATTTATTTATTTTGGCATGTTTAATTTTATCTCAACCCCTAGCGAATTTATTTATTTAGCATGGCACGTGAACTATAATTCGCATGTGATGAGTTTTTGTGTACTCTTCTTTACGCTTCTTAATGGACTGTCGTTTTGGGCTGATAATTTATTCGGGCCCAACCATGAATTTTTTGGGTCTCAACATTAGCCCCCTTAATTATAAGGGCCATGGACAGGTGCTGGAATGGGCCGAATAATTAAACCCAACACAAAAAATCATATTTGTATTTGTAGAGAACTCCTCCTCTTCCCGCGTGCTAAATGACGGCGCATCATGATTGGTCCCAGCGGTTATTTGCAGTTTCCCAACGCCAACTGCATTCTTCTTCTTTTTATTATTATTTTCTTCTTTTTCTTCCCTTTCTTTCTCTTTTCTCGCACCAGACACAAACTTTTTTCTTCTCTTTTCTAGGTTTATTTTTTTTTTTTTTTTTTCTTTTTTTCTCTTCCTCCCTTCGTCCTCCCTTTGCTCCTTCCACGAACTCATACCAAGTGAGAGGACGAAATCAGGCCGAAATCATCCACCTCCAGCCGCCGGGAAGAGAGCCCAGGTCAGACTCGCCCCCGTCGTTCCATCTTCATCCAAAGGGAGCCCGTTCGTCGCTGCTGGAAGGGTCATGGGTTTCTCCTTCAAATCTTCCATTTTTCTTTTCTTCTTGGTGCATTCAAGGCTATCCCTTGGGATTTTTAATGAGGTATGCCTTTTCTTGTTTCCCTTCAAATTTATTTGGTGAAATTTGGTTGGGTTCCTCATACCCATGGGTATTTCCCCTCTTTTGGCAGTCAAGCATCAAACCCTCTTTTGACCTTTTTGTCATTGCAGTAGCATGGATGCTTTTAGTGAGGGTGCTAGCAAGGAAATGCCTACTCCAGTCCTCTGAGATTCCCTTCTTCTTTGATTTGTTAAGGCTACCGGAAAGGTACCCATTTTTTCTGTGGGAAGACACCGTTGGTTTGGGTTTCTCCCTTTTTTCCCTTTTCTTCACTTTTATTTTGCACGAGCTTCCTCTTTGTATGTGAAAAGGCTAATCTTGGCATGATGTGCTTTCTTTTTTATTTATTTATGTGCAGGTATATACGTCTCAGGCATAGGTGAGGGTAGGTGCTGGAAACCCTTGACGTTTTCTGCTGTTGGAACCTTCGAATTTCTCAGTCTTCTAACTTTGATTTTTGGTGCTTCTGTCTTAACCTTTTGGTAAATGACTCTGCCAACTTTGGGTATTTTAGAATAGGTGTAGACTGATGCTTGGCCTAGGCTTTCTTTCCTTGAGAACACATGCTTAATCAATCGTGGATTTTTGTGTGTATTGCTTGTGGAGAATAGAAACTTGACAGAGTGCATGCTTTGTACTGCTCGGCTGAAATTTTTTTTTTCGAAGAGACTTGCTTGTCATGGATTTAAATTTTGAATTGCACGTTTTGCTTGGGTGGATTTGACTAGCCATGTTTGATATGTGTCTTGCGTGTGCTAATTTTATTTCGCTTCTTCCCATTCTTTCGTGTGCAGGTATTCATTGCTTTGCCAAGAGTTGCCATGACGTCCATTAATCCATCATCCATCATTAGGGATCATCTTTACTCCACGGATGACGGTTAAAAAGAGGAAGGCCCTCTCCTTTGCTTAAGGGCACCGATGAGGACATAATTATTGATGGAGAGCCAGCGCCGGAGGTGACTCTAATAATTGATCCTGCATCCGTGTCAAGGTGTTGTATAGAGAGAGGCCTATTTCCCGTAGTCCTCTTGTTCTTTCAATATCCATGTGGCACCAGTAAGGGTTGGTCAGAGTAGGTTGATCGTGAGTTGAAGAATCCGTCTACCTGTGAAATCCTAAGCCGGGCATGGGTGCTGGATGCCATCTTTATTTCTAAGGCTTGTGACATCCATATTGAAGCCCGGATGCTTCGACACGTGGTTAGACGATGGAGTATTGAGACACACACCTTTATTTGTTCATGGGGAGAGTTTACACCCACACTTGAGGATGTAGCCACCATTTTCCACCTCCCACTTTGCGGCAGCCAAGATCCCTTCCACATTACACTGACGCCTGAAGATAAACTAAAGCTTGAGGCCTTACGGAAGGGTGCCCCGACTTCTCCTAGTACTTCTCTGAGGTTCAGCAATTGGATTCAGTTTTTTGGGGATGGTAACCGAGATGAACCATGTCGTCTTGCTGCATTTGTATCATTATGGCTTGGGAGATTCCTCTTTTGTGATTTCTCCCAAGACTGCTTGCACGAAAGGATATTTCCGTTGGCCTTGGCAATAGAACGGGGCAACATGATTCCTCTAGCGCCCATGTTCTTGGGCACCTATACCGATTGCTTGATCAGATTCAGTTTCTTGAGAAAGGGATGGCAGGAACTATAGCTGTGGAGACTGTTGTGAACTCCAGCTTCCTGCAAATCTTCTTATGGGAGCGCTTCAAAGGGATAGAGGTATCTCCACTTCCCTATCCAAAGGCTAAATCACTTGTTGATTCCGCCGCCGGTTCTTATGTGCCAGATAATCTCCCCTTGATATGTAGATGGTCTCGTAGAATGCAAAGAAAAGGCCAAAAAATTTTAGAGTTACTGGATGATGTTGAGAAATTTATCTTTCGTCCCTATTGTGCTTTATCAGAGGAATTTAGAAGTATACCCCTCTATGCTGATTGTGATGTTTTAGTCGAGGCCTTGGCCATGCCAGCACAAGGTTGTCGGTTACGTAGAGAGGTATTGTTAAGTGCTGCATGCCTTCCTTTGCCCACGCTTGATGATGATCACTCGGAGGTTTCTGTGCATTATTCCCCTTACCGAGTCAGACGACAGCTTGGGTTTGACCAGGGCGTGCCTTCTCGTCCCAACCATGGAGATTCCTTGACCTTGCACAGGGTTTTTTGGACAGGAGACAGTGTGTCGGGAGACGGCAGACCTCTTGCCCTTGCTCTGGCTAGCCGGCAGCGGGTTAGTAATCTCTCAAAAGCCTACTAAAATTATTGGAACCGTTGTTTTGCTTCATTTAGCCGATTCCATGCTGCCCATTGTGATAGGTTGATTCCTACCATCATTCATCATGCCCGCTTAGTGTCGGAAGAGAAGGCCATTTCCGTGAGTGAGAAGCGGAATATACCTTTTACTTCCAAAACTGGAGAGATTGTTGGTGATTTTTCGAAGCTAAAGCGGAAGTTAGAGAAATCGGGTTCTTATAGCACTGGGAAAAGTGTTGCACATGGGAAATGGAAGCGGAGGAGAGCTGCAGCGTTGAGAAAAGGCAAGCTATAAAGGGACCTAAAAAATTCATCCCTAAGGTAGCAGCAAGTGGTCCCCCCAGCTCAAAAAAGGGTGCCTTGCCAGAGCCTTTATCGCAGCAACAGCCTGTAGCTTCTAGCAGCAGCAAACAAGCAGTGCCAAGGGTTTCGTCTCCTTTCAGTAAGTCTCGCCATTTGTTTGCTTTCCTTTGTTTCCCCATCTTTTATATATATATATATATAAGTATATATTTTACTTTATTTTACAGGTACTCCTCAAAATAAAGGCAAAGGTAAGGAAGTTCCCGTGATCCCGAAGCGTCGAAGCATGCGCATTCTCGAAACACGGTTTGCCAATACCTGCAAGAACAAAGGCGAAGACTTGGGACCCAAAGTAATGGTAACGGTTGATGATGATAATGATGATGGCAGCGATGAAAGTGGTGCTCCAGAGACTGAGATTAGCACCCACAAGCAAGAAAGCACTCACAATACAAGTGGCATGGATGAGGACCTTGATGAAGACCAATACTATAGCCATGATGAAGACACATATCCGGATTTCGACATTAACTTGGAGGAGCCCGATGCCTCAGATACACCTCTCGAATTGGCTAGTGACCGTGGGCAGCATGTTGACATTGAATTGGTATCAAATAACCTTCTTGCTTGTTCTACTTGGCATATTGATGTTGCATACTGCCTGTTGTGTCCCATAACTCATACTTCGTTCTTCTCTTGCAGGTCGTGCCCACCGTTGAGGACACTACAGGTGCCTCATCGGAGGCCGGTTTTGACTTTCCCGCTATTGTTGCTGATGTTGTCCTGAGTCTTCCAGCAGTGCAACCTCCTTCTCCTCCTAACCTGGGCACATCTGCCATGGCTGCTGACACCTCTCCGCCACTTCTAGCAATTATTCCCCCTACTTCTCCTATTCTAGACACATCCGACATGGCTGTTGACACCTCTCCGCCACTTCCAGCAATTCTTCCTCCTACTTCTCCTATTCTAGACACATCCGACATGGCCGCCGGCACCTCTCCACCACTTCCAGCAGTGCTATCCTCCACTCCTCCTATCCTGGGCACATCCGACATGGCTGCCGGCACCTCTCCACCCCTTCCAACAGTGCTACCCCTTGCTGAAATTGTTGACAACAGCCATAGGAATGGTGATACTTTTATCGCAGGTACCTCTAGAGGGCATTCATCTGAGAAAAGCATGTCTTGGCAGGATTGGAAAAATTCTTACACAGCATTCAAAGCCCTTTTTGACGGCGGTGTCACGATTCTTCGATCCATCGACGAGCTTCTTCCACTTTGCCACAAATTCAATCGTTATGTGGCATTCCAAGGCGCACTTGTGTATCCAAAGACGGTTGCAATCTTGAGAAAATTTATTGACAAATATGAGAGTTTTATGGAAGCTTCCGACATCACCTCTTCCTTCTCAAGGTGTGCTGCCTTCTGAGCCTTTGGCTTAGTGCTTCACGGGATAGACACCATGCAGCTTCTTGATATCACTGATCACAAATTATTTTGCTGGCGGGACACGATATGTGAGGCCATAACTTTGGGCTTTCATGTGGATTTCCTTCTCAATCTCGTGAAGGACCTAGCACGTGCCATCTTCGGGGCGCGAGCCATTCACAGCATGGCATTGTCACATGGTTCTGATGAGATAAGAGTTGCTGCCAACTCCTTGAATATTAAATAGCGAGAATTAGAGGACAAGCACCGAGAATTACATGCCCTTCTTACTGCTAAAGGCGTTTCTGCTGACAGTGCTGAATGTATAGCAGAAGCAGCTACCAGAGTGTCTCCTAGGGCTTCCTCCATCTTCTTCGGGCATTCCCCATAGCTTCAAGGTATTTAGCTCATTCCTTATTTATTTATTTTTTATTATTATTATTATTATTATTATTATTATTATTATTATTATTATTATTTATCATGCTACCTCTTCCAGCATCAGCTATCCTTAATATATACCTCCTTCCTTTTGCAGGTTGTTCTTCCTTGGCTCGGTGATTGACTTATCTTGGTGCATAACATCCTGGGACCACAAGACACATCATTCTTTAACATGCGTAGTTTTATTTCTTCCTGATGTGACTGTGTATTTTCTTTTGAACATTCCAGCAGCTATGACTTTATGATGTAATATTGAACCATTAGAATTTGTATTATTTTCCGGATGCCTTGAGACATGTTGTAATCTGCGTTTCATATATATATATATATTGCTTGGTTGGATACAAGCTGTTTCTGTGAATTGCTTGAGATTCTCTGATAGGTTGGGTACCTCTGAAAACAAGGTACATGCTATCGAAATTTTGACAGGAGCTGAATTTCTAAAGTTGCTTTTGCATGGTTTATCTAACATCTAGGTTCGAAAAACAGCTTCATGTTTTGCTTGAAAAAGGGCAAGTTGGTACGTACATGCTTCTTGCCAAGATTTTTTTTACTAACTCCCAGGGGTTATGCGTATCATGTTGTTCCAGCACCTCAAGGTTGCAATTTTTTTTTCATAATAGCTTGACTTTGCCTTCTTTGTATTATTTTGCTTGGGCCTAGTATTTGTCTCTCATTCGGGACCTCATTGAAGTAGCTTTGCTTGGCATGCCCTACTGCTAAGTGCATGCTCTTTTTTTTTTTTTTGTTTTTTTTGTTTTTATGGTTATATTTAAAATGTTTATTTAAAGGGGTATACACATATTCTTTTTCAAAATAACCCTTCATTTTTCATTGCAAAGCTCCTGCTACCATAATGGTGCATACAAATATTTTTAAGTTTTTTTTTATGAAAATAAGATGGAAGGAGTTCATTTTTTTTTAAAACAAAGGGTAATACGATAATAAAAGGTGTTGGGCATAAAATTAACTTAACAGTAGTAAGACTTAAGCCACTTCCCGTTGACGGGATCTGTCAGCGTGCCTTCTTTGACAAAGACCAAGCGATAATAGCCGCTGCTGTAAACTTCTTTGACTGCAAATGGGCCTTCCCATTGCGGAGCAAACTTGGAAGGTCCCGACACTTGTCTTCTCACATGCTCCACGACGTTTAGCACAAGGTCTCCTTGTTTGAAGGCTTGGGGCCTGACTGTCCTGTTATAGGCTTAGGCTACAACTTTGTGGTACAGTGTTGTCCTTCTTTCGGCTTCCGTTCTTTTTTCATCGAATGCTTCAAGGTCCAGCAGGCGCCACTCCAAGCATGACTTTGTGTCCCATTCGAGGTCGTTAACAGCTGCTACTCTGGCAGTGGGGATGGTAATCTCTACTGGTGAAATGGCATCGAACCCATACACAAGCGAATAAGGCGAGAAACCTGTGGCACTTCTTGAAGAGGTGCGGTAAGCCCATAAAGCATCCGGCAGGTGAACACTCCAACCTCCTTCATACTCGTAGACCATTTTGCTTAGGATCCTCAATAAAGTTTTATTTGTGGCCTCCGCTTGACCATTTCCTTGCGGGTAATAGGGCGTGGAGCGACAATGCTTGACACCATAGACACCATAGCCACTAAGCGTCGAGCTCACTTGCTAATTGACAAACGGGGTGCCATTGTCAGTCACAATCTTATACGGGATCCCAAATCTGCATACGATATACTCACATATGAAATTTGCAACGGCAGCCCCCGTGGCCTTTCGGAGCGGAACCGCCTCCACCCACTTTGTGAAATACTCAGTGGCCGTGTGGATCCATATGTAACCGTCGGATGGCGGGTGGATAATCCCGATCAAATCAAGCCCTCAATTGTGAAAGGGCCAAGGAGTGCGCATGTCTTGTAGCAGCGTGGGGGGTTTGTGACTTAAATTGGCGTGGACTTGGCATGTGTGGCACTTCTTCACGAAGTTATATGCGTCATTCTTCATTGTAGGCCAATAATACCCAACACTCAGCAGCTGCCGGTAAAGCCTCTTCATTCCTTGGTGCTCACTACATTCTCCAGCGTGAATTTCTTGCATGACTTGCTGTGCCTCTGACTTCCCCAAGCATTTTAATGGCTCCCCATTAAACCCTTTGCGGTAGAGAGTTGACCCATTTATGAAGTATCTTTTCATTGTCCTTTTGAGCTTGCGTGCATGCTTGGGATTGGTTGGCAAGACTCCGTTGATGAAGGATGCCAAGTGCGGAGCCCTCCAATCCTCCGTAAACGAGATGGTGAATGATTCTTCGGTGGAGGGTATCGTTGCACATTTGGGACAATTGGCTTGCATTTCAGCTGCTTCTTTCCTCATTTCTGGCCAGTAATAACCCTTGCATTGCAAACGCCGATACAAGCTTATTATTGGCTCCAAATTGCAAGTGACCTCATGTACCTCTTGGAGCTTCCTTCGTGCTTCTGTTGTTCCTATGCAACGGGTCAAAATACCTCCTAGAAGGCGTCTGTACAGTTCTCCAAAGATGATCGCATAATCTTTCAATTCTTTGATGTCACTTCCCTTGCCTATTTTTTCTTTCACAGGCTTCCTCCAGTCATCCTCTTCCAGCTGTTCCTCTTGAGCCATTGCTTCGATCACTGGCATGTCTTTCTTGATCACAGCAATGTTGGGTTGTTCCTCAACAAATGAGAGCTTCGATCCTAAAGTGGCCAATGCATCAGCATATCTATTAGTAACCCCGGGAATATGTTCTAACACTACTTGTTTGAAAGAACGAACAAGCCTTTCAGCAGCTGTACGATACGGCACCAATGTTGGCTCTTTCACAGCGAAATTCCCTTGTAATTGACTCAGCACTAGGTTTGATTCCCCAATAATTTTAATTCTTTCGACACCCATCTCCCTTGCTGTAGACATCCCCATGATGAAAGCTTCGTACTCCGCCGTATTATTTGTGCATGGGAAATTTAGCTTGAATAAGAGGGTCGTGGCTTGCCCCTCGGGATTGATAAGCACTACACCTGCTCCTCCGTCTTTCGATGTAGAAGACCCATCAAAGTAGAGGGTCCACGGTTCTGCCTCTGTGACTATAGCAACCATTTCTGGCAGCTCCCCCATAACTTCCTTAGAGCCAGCATGTCAACTTCGGGAAATAGAGCCCCCATAACTTCCTTAGAGCCAGCTTGTCCTTTGATGGCTTTTGGGGTGGTGCATGTGATATTGAACTCGGACAGTTGTAGCAACCACCGTGCAAGACGTTCGGATAACACTGGCCTTGTGAGCAAATATCTTACAGGATCAGACTTCACTATGAGATGTAGCTTGTGAGCAAGGAAGTAATGCCGCAAGCGCTGTGCAGCATAGACAAGAGCAAGGCACAAGAGTTCTGTCTTCGGATATCTCATTTCAGCTCCCCTTATTTGCCTACTCACGTAATAAATGGGACTTTATTCCCAGACATGATCATCTTGGGCAAGTAAGGCCCCAACCGCTGTGCTTGTTGCAGCCAAATAAAGCTTGAGAGGAAGCCCCGAAATGGGTGCTCTCATAGTGGGCAGCTTGGTGATTATTTGTTGCACTTGCTGATAGGCTTCTTGGCATTCCTTACTCCACTTGTAAGGCTTGCCCTTCTTGAGTAAGGGAGTAAAAACACTCATAGAGGCAGCGAGACCTAGGATAAAGTGTCAAATATACGACAATCTTCGCATGAAGCTTTTCAATTCCTTTCGATTTCTAGGCGGCGCAAGAGAATTTATGGCTCTAGTCTTTTTGGGATCCACATCTATGCCACGCTGGTGCACTTGAAACCCCAAGAATTTACCGGATGAACGCACACTTCTTTGGATTCATCTTTAATCCATACAACCGACACCTTTCCAGCACTCTCCTCAAAACTTCTTGATGGCTTTCTCTGGTTTTGGACTTCACCACAAGGTCATCCACATAGTCCTCGACTTCCTTTCCCATCATGTTGTGAAACACCGCCGTCATGGCTCTTTGGTAGGTGGCGCCAGCATTCTTGAGGCCATACGGCATGACCGTGCAATAAAAATTATCATATGGTTTTCGAAAGGCTGTCTTCTCAGCATCTTTGGGTGACATCTTAATCTGATTGTAGCCATTAAACCCATCCATGAATGACAACAAGCCTTGACTCAAGGTTGAATCGATCAAGATATCCATGTTGGGCAACGAGAATTCATCCTTTGGGTAAGCTCGGTTGAGGTCTCAATAGTCCGTGCATACTCTAATTACTTCGGTCTTTTTCTTCACAGGAACAATATTTGCTAACCATGTTGGATGCTTGATTGGCTTGATGAACCCAGCGGCCAACAGCTTTTCGATCTCTACTTTGATTTGCTTTTCAATTTCGGGATGGAAATTCCTCCTTGGCTGCGTAATAAGCTTTGTACCGAGCTCAATATTCAAAGCGTGACTTACCAAGTTTGGGTTTAAGCCAGACATTTCCTTGTAGCTCCAAGCGAACACATCTCGGAATTCTTTTAGCAAAGATACCATGGCCTCCTTCTCTTTATTTGTTAAATGAACGCTGACGGAGATGGGCCTAGGGGTAGAGGGATCCTCACTCAAATCAATTGTTTCCAGCTGCTCAGCTACCGCTGTCGATCCATCTTGCATGTGTCCTGGTGCTGTCATTGGCTCTTGGAAAACACAAGGCATAGGTGCCTTGTCATCGGGACCCTTACGGCTGTTTGCTCGCATTACTTCTCCTCCACACTCGGGGCTTTCCCGTAAAACACGGTCAGACCCCCAACCCTGTCATAAGCGATACACGGTACGTCCATCGGGCAGTGTCACCTTCGAGCATTAGGGATAATCATAGGCATGATTGTTGATCTCCGAGTGCCTCTTCCTCTCTCGATCGACAATGGTGATGAGCTCCTCATTGCTTAGATCACGAATTTCAGTCCACGAAGGAAGGTAGGTCCCGAAATCCTTGGATGGGTTGCTTCCAGCACTTGTGCATTCAGTGTAGAATTCTGCCTCGGAGTAGTGAGCTTCATCTTTGACATAGAACTTGGTAAGTGACCGAATCGGCCCAACCTTCAAATTTACTTGCACATGCCCAACTGTGACCTCACTCTTATTTCCGAAACCGCTGATGCTTGTTTGTAATTGGACAATTTTGGATAATGGGATACCAGCTGCCGTAAGAACAGACAGAGGTAATATGTTGACAGAGGAACCCGTGTCTACCAAAGCTCTTTTTATAAACACATCGTTGATTTGTCCCTCCAAATAAAACGGCCTCCTACGATCCGGGTATGGAACTTCCATGTCTTCATCCGTGAAGACAATAGCATTGTCATTTCCCAAAAATGACCTTTGTGGTTGAGCGGTAAAGCAATGAGGGTTAGACTCCGCAGAGATATTCATAAGAGCTACAGCAAGCTGCTTCTCTTGCTTGAGGCCCAAAGCCAAGTTGGTCAAAGAGTGATTTGAACTTCGGGTTTCTTTGAAGGACCTACGAAGCTGTGAGCCCCTGTTTAAGACTTAAATAACGCTCCATTACACTTGTTTCAGCTTCCGTAAGATTATGAAATATCACAGCAGCTGTTTCCTGCTACCCCGATGAAACCCCCGAGTAGCATTCTTTCGACATGTCTAAAACAAAAACTTCGCTGCCTGAGTTATTACCTCATCCATCAGTGAGCGGCCATGGTGTGTTGTAAGTTGAAGGCCTCGAATATTTACACCAATATGCCTTCTCCATGTTTCCGCAAGGTTCCCACATAGCTTCCGGCGGCTTTGGATCATTCCTCCAGGGGTGGCACAATTCATCGTCATCAAGCAAATCATTGGAACATGTAATGACAGTAGCTACCTCCTTTCCCCTTCGTTTTGCCAAAGGGTCTTCATCAATTGTTTGCTTCCTAGAGGGAAGTTCAAGGACTCCCTCATGTATCTTGGCATGTAAAATCCTTCTCAGACTCTGACAGGCAGTAGTTGGATGCCCCACAAATTGATGATAACGGCAGTACCTAGGATCATTCTTTTCCTCTCGGGTAGGAATTTTGTAGGGTATGACAGGCTTGATTGCGCCATCAGCAATCATTGTGTCAAGAATAGCATGAAATTGTTTATCTTCGCATGGTAGTGGTGGATACGTCTCCCTATCCTTCCGTTTGCGCGAATTGTAGTCGTTGGATGGCTTATCATCTATTGCTAACGTCTGGTGCGTTTCCTTCTTCTCATTCCTCCAAGTCCTTTGTCCTGTTGGCTTGACGGACATGTTTGTCTTCCTTACAGCTTCCAGCAGCCAAGAAAATTGACTAATGTCAATATTCTCCAAATAAACTCTATAATCTGTCATGATATTGCTGATGCAAATTTCAACAAGCGCTTCCTCATCTTTCTCATCGTAGCAATCCAATGCCAGGTCTTGGAACCTACGCACAAAGTCCACGGGATCCTCACCATGCTTTTGACAAGTGTTGTTGAGTTGAGTGGTGGTGACTCGTTCTTCATGCTGGAAATACTTCCTACAAAACCTGCTCGTCAAGCTTTCCCAAGAGTGAATAGAGCCTGGTGCCAACGTCGTATACCATGTGTAAGCTTGATCGGTGAGACTCTTTGAAAATTCTCTAAGTCGGAGATTCTGATCACCAGCGTATGGTCCCAAGGCATCAATGAAGCGATTGACATGCTCATTCGGGCTCCCCTTCCTTCCGTCGAAGAGGACAAAAGTTGGTGCTTCATAGCCTTTAGGATATGGCTGCTGGAGCAAGCTTGCTGGGTACGGTGGCTGAGGAGGATACTTCCAATCTTCCTGACTTCAACTCAGCTCCTTTCCAGCATGGCGACAATGTCCTCTTGAGTGACAAAAGATGGTCCTTTTTGTTCAGACTCCTTTCCAGCAGCAGCAGATTCTTCTTGTAGGTGTTTTTCATTTTCTTCACTTGGCTTTGGAGCCAAATTTTTGAGTTCTTTTATCATCTCTGCCATCTCCTTTTGGGTCTCACCCATAGCATGGATGGTTGCAACAAGGTCTGTAAGGGTAAAAGTTCCCTCACTTGCACGTTCTTCTTCTCTAGAAGAGGCATGTTGCCTTGATTCTGAGTCAGCATGGCTTGGCCCATCCTAGGAAGTCATGTTGTTACTTCTGGTCTTCTTTTTTGGAGGCATTGATGAAGATAATGGCTTAATCCCCAGTAAAGTCGCCAATTTATGTAGGAGACTCTTTCTTCCTGCAGCTATAATAGGTTGGGCTGCTGTAAAGGGCAGACTGAGGAGACTGTCTCCTTTGCTTGGGTTCAAAAATTAAGCCCCAAAAATACTTCAAAATGGCAGCAAAGCCTTAGACAATATTTCGGCTACCTTCACCAACCAAAATAATGGCAACTTACAGGTGGTTTTGGCATGCTTACAGATAATCTTTTTAGCTCAACGTGAGTGACATATGGCATGGAAGCAAAATCAACATGAGTTTAGCACTAACAGAACATTTAGGCTTTCTTTGAGGGAAAGGGAAATCTTAGGGTAAGAAATGAGAAGTTTTGTGAGAGATTTGGCTAGGAAAGGGAAAATGAAGAGTAGAGTTCTTTTGGCAGCTGCCAGAAGAACAAAATGGAGAAGGAGATGAACAGTGCACGAGGTTGCTAGATTTTTGCAAGTTAGAGAGAGGGCTTGCTCTTTGAATCTGAGTTGCCTTCGTTAGGTAGAATAAGCCTCAATTTATAGCCGCTGGAAACCATCATTTTTTCAAGAAACCCTAATGGCTTCTACTCATTTTGGCTAAGGTTTTCCCTCCTTTCTTATTTCCTCCTTTGGTTTTTCCATTTTGATGAAATTTCTCCTATCAGATCAGAGTTTTTGAAGCTCAAGGCCCCCCTTTTCCCGCAGCCACCTTAATGGCAGACTTTCCACTTCCAGCCATTTTGTTCATTGCTTTCTTCTCCTTTTTCTATGGCCAAGTTTGATGGGGAAAGGGGTTGGGATATACATGTTGGTTTAAAGGGTGCTTCTGACAACTCGCAGGCTAATATTCATTGGTCCCTTGAGTGTTTCTTGCTTGGAACTTGTTCCCTCCATGTGCTGAAAACTCCCAACAGCTTAGTTCAATGGACCTGCAGACCTTCTCTACGTGGCTTCTATTTTTTCAGCAAAGGGCTGAGACTTTTGAGGCTTGTTTTTGGGGTTTTGTATGGACCAATGGGGTCCCTTAAGCAGGTGGGCTATTTTATCAAACATTGGGCTTTTAAGCTAATAGGCTATTTGGGCTATTTCTTTTCCCTTGTGTTTACCCACATGTTTGGGCCTAAGAAATGGGCTTGAGTCTCGAGATTCCCAAGCAACTCGAGACTTTCCATTTCTCGGCCCATCAATGGGCCTCATGCTGACTTATTACCATCCATGCCATAACCCACTCATGCATGCCCCATGTGTTTGAGTGGCTTGGGCCCACTTAGGCTTGTAGCATGGTTGGGAGTGAGATAACGATTTCGTGCTTGGCATGGCATGTCGCTTGGCATGTTTTAATTTATCGTCCTGCGATGTTTAATTTTGGCATGGACTTGTAGACCCGGTATATTTTATCTCAACCCCTAGCGAATTTATTTATTTAGCGTGGCACGTGAATTGTAATTCGCATGTGATGGGTTTTTGTGTACTCTTCTTTACGCTTCTTAATAGACTGTCGTTTTGGGCTAATAATTGATTTGGGCCCAACCATGAATTTTTTGGGTCTCAACAATGATTATTTCTGAGGGCTTTCTCATTCCGTCAGAACTGATTGACTATTTCTGAGGGGCTTCTTATTCTATAGGAATTGCTTGAATATTTCCGAGGGGTTCTCCTTTCATTTGAATTGTTTGACTATTTTCGAGGAGAAATATGTCATCTAGGAAAGACGTTTGAATGTCAATTTTCCATTAGAATAAGTATTAGAAAAAAAAAATTGATTGATAATAACCAATCACACTCCAAAATAAATAACTAAAAATAGCCAATCCAAAAAAAATAGATGATTACAAAAAAATAGACAATCACAATTACATGACAACTCATCTCATAGTTGTAAGTTGAATCACATCCATTCTTCAATCAATTTCATTGTCTTCAACATCATTTTGGATGGCGTGCATGCTTTGACTTTGAGTCTGCTTCTTGGTATGACTCAATCTCATCATTAGTTATCTCATAAGCATTTCTTGGATTTGTTTCTACTACAAAACTCCAAATTTTATTTTTAACCCCATTCACATAAAAAACTTGGGTTGCATGGCTTGCTAGTACGAATAGCTCTTGAGTATTTAGCTTGCGTGTTGTATTAACAGTGATTATTCCATAACGATATATCTTGTAACCTGTTCCTTTTCGTGTTGTGTCATACGAATCACAATTGAACAATACAACTCTATTTCCTTATGTGTAACAAAGCTCAACAATATCTACTAAGGTTCCATATCAAGGCACATTGTCAATCTGATTCTCCCCCTTAACCATAACTCCACTATTTTGTGTTTTTTTATTCTCATCACGTTGCAATGTATGAAATCTAAAACCACTAATATAATAACCAGGATAATAACTTACTCGCCTTTCAGGACCTCGAGCCAAAGAAAGCATTTGCTTACTAACTTTACCATCATAATATAGTTCTATGACCAGCATAGAAGGGAAAAAAATATTTTTAAATAAACATCTATGACAGTCAATAATTTTTCCAATACATTATTATCCATACCCTTTTAGAAATCCAGTTTGAAAATTGAAGCCTATATGACTCCTCCACATTATCAACACTAGACTGGATTAGAATGTTCTTATGTTCTCTGCATACATAACAAATGATTATATTCAAATTAATACAGTGACATGTTAGATCTAAATAAATAGTAACATATTAAATACACAAAGAATTTATAGTGTTGAAGAATTCTTACTGGACAAATGGCAAAGCTTCATCACAATTTTAGAGAACATAATGAGTGGCAGCCTTATGAAGTTCGATGTTCATCTCTCTAAGTACACCTTTCCCAAAAGCTCGACCTGGTGTTGAGAAAATAGATAATGGAGATGTATCATATGACGGTTGACCTCCATTGTCATTTCTATCTCGTTTTTTAAAATTTAGTTTCAACTCGATGCAAATAGCGAGAGCAAAATATTAAACACTCATCTCCCAAGACACCTTTGGTAATAGACCTTTCTGGATAAGCCTTATTACGAACATAAGTCTTTAGTTTATGCAAATACCTAATTGCGTCATAAATACCGAAATTAGAGAATCATACATCAACAGTTAAACAAATCGTGAATAAAATTAATATCTAAGCATTGAGATTACCTTTCCACAGGATACATCCACCTGAATTATACTGGACCAGCCACCTTTGCCTCCCATGCCAAGTGGCAAGTTAGGTGAATCATGATGTCAAAAAAGGCATGAGGGAATATTTTTTCCAACTTGCATAGAGTTATGACAATTTGATTGTCAAGAAGCTTCAAGTCATCTTCTCTTAAAACTTTAGCACACAATTCCTTGAAAAAGTACGATAATTCAATTAAAGGCTCACTTACATCTTTGGTCGATAAATCTCGCGCCACAAACGGAAGTAATCTCTCTAAGAACACTTGACAATCATGAGTTTTCATACCAGAAATATTACATTCTGAAGTATTCACACATCGAGATAAATTTCCAGAGTATCCATATGGAACTTTCAACTCCATTAACTATTGACATAAAGCTTTGTTATCATCATTTGACAATGTATAATCGCCTGGGATAAAATAGAGCTTACCATTATCTCATTCGTCTGGATGAGACCTCTGTCTTATACCCATTTCTTAAAGATCAAGACGAGCATTTAAAGAATCTTTTGTTTTACCATCAATGCTCATCATTATGCCAATCATATTCTGAAATTCATTTTTATTAATGTGCTTGACATCTAAATTGTGACGCACGAAAAGTGTTTTCCAGTAAGACAATTGGAAAAATATCGAATGTTTTTTCCAATTATGATCTTTTCCAAACCCAAGTATTGTATGTTTTTTCCCATCCTTGCCATGTGTTATTTCTCTTAATTCACTAAGTTCATATATCACATCATCATCAGATGGTCTCTTAGGTGCAAGTCTTCTTTCCCTTGTATTATCAAATTGGCTTCGTTGATTACTTCATACGTGGTCAGACGGTAAAAATCTTCTATGACCCAAATAACATGTCTTAGACCCATGAGATAACCGACGATGCGAAGTGTTAGATGCACAATATGGGCATGCCAATTTGCCAGACGTACTCCAACCTAACATATATGTATATGCTAGATAATCATTGATAGTCCAAACATCTGAAAATTCTTTTTTGCATATATATCATACGTTTCAACACCAATTTCCCACAATGTTCGCAATTCATTTGTCAATGGCCTCATGTATACATCGATGTCATGGCATGGATCCTTGGGCCCAGGAATAAGTAAAGTCATGAAAACATAAGGCTCCTTCATGCACATCCACGGAGGAAGATTACATGGGTATATGAGAACCGGCCAAATACTATAGTGCAAATTCATGTTCCCAAAAGGGTTAAATCCATCTGTTACCAAACCAAGTCTTACATTTCGAGGTTCTATACCAAATGACTCATGAATTTGATTAAACGATTTCCAAGCCTCAGGATCTGCCGGATGCCTCAACACTCCATCTTTTACACAATCCTTAAAATGTCACCTCATATCTACAACTGTCTTGGATGACATGAATAATCTTTGAAGTCTTGGTATGAGTGGAAAATATCTAAGCACCTTCCATGGAACCTTTTTACCTTTCTTTTTGCTACCCTTTCCTTGTATCTTCCATCTCGAAAGCTTACATGTAGGACACTGCGTTGCATTTGCATGGTCCTTATAACAAATGATGCAATCATTATTGCATGCATCTTTTTTGATCGAATTATTGCATGCATCTTTTTTGATCGAATTATTGCATGCATCTATTTTATCACAATGAAGACCTAAATCTGAAATAATTTTCTTTGCACCGTTGGTGGTTGTAGGTAACTTCTCACAAAAAGGAAATGCATTTTTCAACAATGTTAGCAACATACCAAATGCTTAATTGCTCATAGTACCGATACCCTTGATATGCATCAGGTTCACAACAAAAGACAAATTAGAATACGACTCACAGCCAGTGTACAATGGTTGTTCTGCCTCTTCTAACCATTTGTAAAACTTGTGTGCATCTCCATTTGGATCTTGTGGACAACCTTCTTCTATTAAATCATGCATATCATCTTCTTGCTCCATACTGGCCACATCATGTCCATCATTGTCACTATCACTTTCATCACTATCCTCATCCTCAACCTCAACCTCACCCTCACCGTGCAAATACCATGTAGTCAGGGACGGACCCAGGAATTTTATGTCGTAGGGTCATAGTGTAAAAGTTAAATTTTTTTTATAAAGATTAATATAACATTGAAAATGAAACTACAATACATTCATTCATAATTCATGTAAAAAACAACATTACAAATTACAATTGGCCACGATGAGGTTTCATATTTTGAAAACGAAGCATTATAGCTTCATTTTCAATACAATCAAAAACATCCTTCTCAACATAAACAAGTAAGCTATCACTCAACCATTGATCTCCCATTTTGTTCTGAAGTGGACCTTTGATAATATTCATGACGGAAAATGCCCTCTCAACTGAAGCAATAGCAACTGGTAAAACTAGAGCCAATGTAATAAGCAAATACACATAATTGAATGCTCGATGCATCCTTGTCTCCACCATTTTTTTTGCAAGATCACCAATCCCTTGCAAGTCAAAGAAATCACTACTTGAACGCACATAATGAATATAAAGTTCAAGTTGATCTTCAAGTGCCAAAAGATCCCCATCCGAAAAGTCTTAAGGATAAAATTGAGTCATTTGGACTTAAACATGCCAAATAAATAAGCAACTCAGTATTTACCTCATTAAAACGATCATCTAACTCCGTAAGTTGCTCATCAATGACATAAATAAAGAGCTCCGCACGATAATGATGACGATTTGTCTTTATTGGAGCATTACGCCTTGACCTCCCTGGAAGTACGAAGGCCTCATCCATGCTAGGAACATCAATATGATGTTTGTCACAAAATGAAGACACCTCTTCAACTAATGCATCAAACCCATTATTCCTCATCCAATGTAGCTTTTCCTTGCATGATTTCACCAAAGCCATTGCATTCACAATTTCTTTATCTTTCTTTTGCAATGCTTGTGACACATCATTTGTGAGTCCCAATATAGCTTTCATTAAGAATAGGTGAAACACAAACTGAAAGTAAGCATTTCCCTTTGAATCTTATTTGCTTCACCGGCACTATCATTGGGATTATCATCAATAATCATTTGAAGCACATGAATCACAGATGAAAACATAGAAATGATTCTAATAATGGTACCGTAATGTGAGCTCCATTGTGTGTCACCGACACGTTTGAGACTTGTTTCTTAATGCAAACCTCGCCTCGTTATAAGACAATCATTTTCAAAAGCTATCACAAGCTCTTCTTGAAGTTGTGCTCTAAGTGCATCACGCCGCTTACAAGATGCTCCAACATGGTTAACCATACTATTAGTGGTTGTGAAGAAAGAGGCAATATCAATATTCTTCTTTGCTATGGCAACAAGTGCTAGTTGAAGTTGATGAGCAAAGCAATGAATATAGTATGCACAAGGTTGTTCTCTCAAAATCTTTGTTTTGAGGCCATTCAACTCGCCTCTCATATTGCTAGCTCCATCATAACCTTGTCCTCGTAACTTAGAAAAGCTCAAACCATTGGAAGAAAAGAATATGTCAATGGCATCCTTTAGTGAACTTGAAGTGGTCTCGGTAACATGTTGAACCCCCACAAACCTTTCAATTACATGCCCTTTGTCGTCCACATAACGCAACACCATAGCCATTTGCTCCTTCACAGAAATATCACGTGCTTCATCCACCAATATAGAAAATAATCTATCTTTTAAACCACTCATGATAACATCAAGTGTTTCCCCAGCACATGCATTGACAATATCTTTTTGAATCTTTGGAGCTACTAACTTGAGATTCCCCGGAGCATTTTCCAACACAACTTCTTTAACTTTCTCATCATTGTCTGCAAGGAATTGCAATAGCTCCAAGTAATTTCCCCTATTGCTTAAAGTGGCACTTTCATCATTTCCACGGAAAGAAAGACCTTGTCTCAATAGAAACTTAATGCACTTGATTGAAGCAATTAAGCATCTTCGATATGCCACACGAGCTTGTTCGGAGTGTTTGCTCACAGCCGTTTCAATATGTGTATTTTGATTCATCAAATTTGTAGCAGCTTCTCTAGCTTTATTATGAACATTACCAACCGGTCCAACATGCACCTTCATTCTTTCTCTCCCTTTCTTCCAATTCTTAAACCCTGCTCCAATGAAGGCTTCACTACCCACTTGCTCAAAATTGGATTTAAAGAGATAGCAATAAAGACAAAATGCAGCATCTTTAGATACACTATACTCCAACCAATCAAATTCATCAAACCATTGGGGAATGAAGCGTCGATTAATTCCTGAGATATTACTTTGTGGGAAAGAATGACCTCTAGGTTGACAAGGTCCTTTTTGTAGATATGCTCTTCGAACCTCATCTCTAATATTAGTATCATACTCAATCATACGAATTCTTAGTCCCGGGTCTACCTGAAGATTAGCTAAAACCCCATCTAACTCACTTTGTCTTGAACTTGAAGTTCTTGAATTACCCACACTATCCGAACTACCCAATGACGACTTCCTCTTAAAAAATCTTTCCATAATTCTACACAAATTAATCAAAATAATAACTAAAATCAATTAAAGAGAACATCAAATTTATACCAATTAACCACAACAAATTCATAAATAAAACATCCAATATATCAAAACAATATAATATAATCATACATTCAATTTCAATTCAAGTTATTTAGGTTTAGAGTTAGAATTTACCTTGAATTGTGAGGTGGTGGAAGCGGAGCCAAGCTTTTGGAAGCGGCGGCACTGCTGGAAGCGGCGGCAATGGAGGAGTTGGGGCTTAAAGGCTTGGTGGGGGAGAGGGTTAAAGGTTTGTGGGGGGTGGAGATTGGGGATTTAGGTTTGAGGGTTTAGAAAAAGGGGGTTTTGGAGTTGAAAATTCGGGAGAGATGGAGGGTCTGTGCATATACAATCTGGCCTCTTTTTTTTTAAAAGACCTAGACCAAAACGACGTCGTTTTGGCTAGGTCTTTTAAAAAAAATTCGGTGCTGTGCTGCTGGCCCAAAACGACGTCGTTTTGGCCAGCGCAGTTTTTATAAAAAAAATTCGCTACCAAAACGACGCCGTTTTGGTAATCGGGTTTTTAAAAAAAAAAGGCACTGGCTGGTCCAAAACGACGCCGTTTTGGCCAGCTTCTTTTGAAAAAAAAACAGATTTCTGTTCATCTTCTTCTTCCTCAGTACCTCTGCAACTCCTTCTTCAGCCTTTCATGGGGTCACATACCAATTCAAAGGGACCTTCTACCTTACTTTCTTGGAGTCCATAGGGTCGTTTTACCCCATTGACCCCACTGTGGGTCTGTCCCTGCATGTAGTATAAGTTAGTTTAATTTCATTATAAAGAAAATGCTTGTGTACCTCATACCTCAGATGTCTATATCTATTACAGCATTTAGAGCAAGGACAAAAGATCTTTGAATCATCCGGCTTAACATGGTTGTATGCATAATTGAGAAAACTTTCAACTCCTACAAAATAATCTTCTGACGACCTTCTAGGTTGCATCCAAGTAAAAATAAAAATAAAAAGCTAATCAAATAATAGAAGTTACAGCCACCTTCAGGTGTATTGAACATGTAAGGAATGTTTAAAAACCCACCTTAAATTTGCAACTTCCAACAAACTACCCAAACTGATAAATGTTCTATCTTAGATAAAAGAACAATTCAAAACATAAACTGACAAATTATACTTAGAAAATAGCAAAACCACTTGTCAAACTAATTACATAACAAACTAAACACATGGACTCTGAAACTGATGGTGGCAATTTGTGATGTCAATTCAGTTCCCATTGCATAGTCAATGAGCTTTGCAATGGTTTACCTGTCTTTCTCATATGAGAGTTGAAGGAATTTTGTTTGATGAATTACATAAATTGTCAATACCAAGCCAAGCTCTACGTATTTTACTAACTTGACGAATGTGAAAAAAACCCAATTATGTTTATAGCTTAGACTGAAAACAAACACCTATCAAAAACTGAAATTCCCAAAACTCAATTCTACATGAAAATACAAATGCCACGAAATCAAATTATCAAATAAACCAAGCCATCGAATCAGATTAAACCATCAAGCAGGTTCCAAGATAATCAATCACAAATTTAGCAACATAACACAACAAAAAGCTATAAAAAAAAATATTTAAAAAATTGATCTGGTGCTGATTACTAAAATTTGAAGATTTTCCTAGTATTGAGAGAAAGAATGTTTAACCTTAAATTTTAGTTGTGAAGAGAGAATAAAAGCTTAGCAGAAGAGGAGGTGTGGGGTGCGGTCAAAACCCTAACTTTTGGGGGAAAGGGAAATGTGCTTCGAACTGATAGATGAAATCACACAATTGTCAACTTAAACTTATGTCTAAGTGTCTGGGCTTGAGAAATTGTGTGAGCTAGAATCGTCGAATGGAAGAATGATTCTCACTATGAATCGTAATGGCTAAGCATCTGAGAGTTTTAGCAAGAATCGGGCAGTGATGGAGGAGAGAGAAGAATGAGAGTTTTAGAGGGACTAAAGGAGAGTTTTGTTCAAGAGATGAATTTTTAGGGTACAGTTTCAGAGTAAGTAAAAAAATTGAGAGGGAGTTAGAAGAATTGGGGCTAGAGTTTGGGAGGGAGCTGAAGTTTTAGAGAGAGTTTGCCAGGGAGAGTAAAAATTTTGGGTTAGGGCGTTGACTCAGACTTTAGGCATCAGAGGTATATTACCAAAAAATGACCCTCTTAAAATAAAATAAAAACTAATCACTTTAGGCATCTATATTTATGTAGATGATGCTAAAGGGGAATAAAGGCATCATCATAAATAAACAAAAATGCGCGTTGATGTCTTTATACCTGTTTAGTATCGTTATTTATGAAATTTATGTCTAATCTACTAATAGCATCGATTTTCCTCTTTACCTATGCCTATCTAGTGTTGCTGTAAGTGAAATTTGACATAGTGAGAGATGCAGGAGCAAGCTACAAAGGTTCAAGCCAACTGTCCTATGTGTTCCATGGTACTCTCAATGGAAGAAGCAATCATAATCTCATTTGTAGAAGAGTAGAGGGCCTTATATTTATCATTTTTTTAGAGCGATCACTGCAAACTTATCCCAGGGACCCTTACAAATTAAAAAAGATTTCAATGATGTACTTTGTAGATGGGACAAGTCCCTATTTTGGGGAAAAACCTCGATGATGGCAAGTCATTCATAGTGTGATACCTTTGTGTGAAGGAAGAGATGAGTGGAGATGCTAAGAAAGAAAGGGTGTGGGCTGAGGTTGAGTAGGAAAATCAATTTTGTGGTTGGGATGGGAGGTGGGGTGGTTGCAGATTGGAGAAAGAATGATGCTTGTTACTAGAATTGCTTTAGTGTGAAGGTCGTGGTGATGTCTGTTGGGTTTTCACCAAAGGAGGAGAGGAAGGGGTGATTTCTAATAGGAATCATGTGATTGACGAACTTTTTAATTGTTTATTTTAAACAATAAAGAATTCCAAAACAATTTTTATTTTCATTGTTTGTTTGTTGCTTTAAACCATTATTTAAAAAATTTACGCATGTGATACTTACATGTCATATATTTTAACAAAATTATGGGTCTCACTAATGTTCTCGTTTTTTTTTTTTTTATTAATTTTTTTTTTTTTTTTTTTTTTTATTTTTTTTTTTTTTTTAACCTAACCAAGGTGTAAGGTAAGACACAAAACATCTGTCAAGGGTGCAAGGTGGGTTACTTTGAATTTCATTTAGGCCTGAGCATGGTACAATACGATATGGTATGGATTACTTCTCGATACTGGTATCGGAAATTACAACCAGTATTTACAGGACCCGACCTAAATTCCACTTTGGAATATGAGCGGAACCCTGTGCGTGTCCGACACGTACAGGGTTCCGCTCAAATTCCAAAGTGGAATTTAGGTCGGGTCCTATCAATATGGTATCATAGTCACTCTGCCGTGTAATCCGAATGTGTCGACGAGGACGTCGGGCACCTAAGGGGGGTGGATTGTAACATCCCACATTGACCAATGGAGAGGGGGTGATGTGCCTTATATGTACATGCCAACCTTCATCTAGAACGAGGCCATTTGGGAGCTCACTAGGTTCGGAGTCATAGGAACTCCGAAGTTAAGCGAGTTGGGGCAAGAGCAATCCCAGGATGGGTGACCTACTGGGAAGTTGCTCGTAAGTTCCCAAAAATAAAACCGTGATGGCAGAGAGAGAGGCCCAAAGCATACAATATCGTGCTCCGGCGAAGCCGATCCCTGGATGTGACAAGTATGATAAGGTATGGGATTGGCATTTGTAGAAGTTGATATTGAACTATACTAGAGCCGATTTGTTTCGGTATGAAACGGTACCATTTCAGTACCAAATGACAAAACAGAAACATAATCTAGCAATTAAACAAATTCAGCAAATTCATCAAATACCTACTCGTATTTATCAATTCAGATCAACATAACCTATGTAATTATGACAATAGATTTTATGAAATTCATGAAATGAAGTTATAAACATAAACTTATGCATTTCAATGTTTTATGGCTTACAAACCCAAATGGTTAAAATTATGCAATTCAATGCCTTATGGCTTACAAAGTTACAAACACACATAAATTTTGATATAACAAACAAAGTTACAAACACATATAAATTTGCAAACCAAGGTTACAAACACACATAAATTTGCAGCACAAAGTTTCAATTCAAATAGCCCCATCATTTGCATATTCTAAAAAATACAAAAACAACTTTTAGAATTCAATGCAAACTAATACAAATTACAAATAGTATTTAAAATAATTTCTCTAATTCAATGGTTTCATAAAATTCAAATTCTTCAATCAAAGGTGTATCTTCCAAGCTTGAAATTTCATTCCCTCTCAACCAATTTTGCATGCAAATCAAAGCTTCCACTGATTTAGGAGTTAATGAACTCCCAAATGCATCTATGACTCTGCCACCAGTGCTAAAACAACTTTCATATGCCACTATGGAAGTTTGAATTGAAATGACATCTTTTGGCAATTGCTGCTAAGACAGGATACTTGGGCCCACTGAGTTTCTACCACATCAATATGTGAAAAAATATATCTTTGGAAACTAAAGCCAAAGGATCTGCCAAGTAAGAATCAACTTCATGTGACACTACAGCCTCATCACTCTCTTCGACCTCCCTAATCCAATCATCCAAAAAAATCATCACTAGCAACACTTTCTTCAACCATATTATTACTACCACTTGCATATCCTACATTTTCGGTGGTAGAATTCTATCTCATGTGAATGCCACCATCTACCTTTGCTACATACTCACCATAAAGGTCATTAACACTCTTTTCACTTATCATGTCTTCATTTACACATCATCCTCATCAAATTTTTCCTTTTTAAAGAGATGGGTGATATGCCTAAACTTGAACCTTGGATCCAAAACAAGTGCAATTAACACCAACATGTTCAAATCCTGATATTTGACAAAATATTTATTGTATTTTGTTCTCATAGCTCCAGCCATGTCATTCAACACTT